TGTAGAAGCTGCTAAATCTTGTGTTTTCCTGATTCTGTTTCCACAATACTTGAATTGTTTCTTTCTGGCTGCTTGCAATATTTTCTCCTTGACCTGGGAACTCTGGAATTTGGCTACATATTCCTAGGAGTTTTCCTTTGGGGATCTCTTTCAGGAGGTGATCATGGATTCTTTCCATTTCTTTTGCCCTCTGGTTCTAAAATATCAGGGCAGTTTTCCTTGATAATTTCTTGAAAGATGATGTCTAGGTTCTTTTTTTGATCATGGCTTTCAGATAGTCCAATAATTTTTAAATTCTCTCTCCAGGATCTATTTTCCAGGTCAGTTGTTTTTCAGTGAGATATTTCACATTTGTTTCTATTTTTTTTATTCTTTTTTTTGTTTTACAATGTCTTGATTTCTCATAAAGTCACTAGCTTCCATTTGCTCCATTCTAATTTTTAAGGAAATATTTTCTTCAGTGAGCTTTTGGACTTCCTTTTCCGTTTGTCCAATTTTGCTTTTTAAGGCATTCTTCTCCTCATTGGCTTTTTGGATCTCTTTTGCCATTTGGGTTAGCTATTTTTTAAGGTGTTATTTTCTTCAGTATTTTTTGGGGTCTCCTTTAGCAAGTTGTTCACTTGTTTTTCATGATTTTCTTGCATCAGTCTCTTTCCTTTCCCCGGCTTTCCCCTTCTTCCCTTACTTGCTTCTTAAAATCCTTTTTGAGCTCTTCCATGGCCTGGGACTGATTCGTATTTTTCTTGGCAGCTTTGGGTGTAGGACCTTTGACTTTGTTGTCTTCTCGTTGAATGTTTTGATCTTCTTTGTCACCAAAGTAAGATTCCACGGTCTGAATTTTTTTGCACTGTTTGCTCATGCTCCCAGCCAATTATTTGAGTTTTAAACTCTTTGTTAAGGTAGGGGTCTGATTCCAGTGAGGAGAATGTACTATCCAAAGCTTCAGGAGGGTTTATGCAGCTCTTTTTAGATATACTTCTACAGACCTGTAAGTTTTCAGTTCTTCCAAGGTGGAGTGATCAAGGGCAAGTTGTTTACTCCTTTCCTGTCCTGTGCTCTGGTGTATGAGTGATCTCAAGCACTATTTTCTGCCTTGGGACTATGAGGACGATTTCCTCTCTACCATCACCATAACTCCACCACACCAAAACTCTTCCTCACCCCAGGACTGGGAACCAGGTGCAAACATTTGCAAAGCAAGAGAATCCTGCCTCAGTACCAGCAAAGAGATCCCTACAATCCCCCTCTGATCAGCCACTCCATCCCCCCATATTTTGTGAGCTACGAGCTCCAGAAGCAGATGCCACACTGGAGCTGCACCAGGACTGGGGCTGGACTATGCTCCTCTCTCACTCAGGTCTCACCGATCTTTCTAAGTTGACCTTCTAAGTTGTCTTTGCCATTTGTGGGTTAAAATGTCTGGAAACTGCTACAGCTGCTAGTGATTCAATGTCCCCTTAAACCTGCTCCAGGTTTGCTGAGGTCCTAGCTTTGCCTGTGTGGCCCATGCTGACCTAAGCTCCACTCCCAGTCTGGCGCAAGAGACCTTTCCCATCAACCATCCAGGTTGTCTTGGGCTGGAAATTTGTTTCACTTTTTCTTTTTGTGGGTTCTGCTACTCTAGAATTTGTTTAGAGCCATTTTTTGCAGGTATTTGGAGTGGTTTGGGGGACAGCTCAAGCAAGTCACTGCTTTTACACCAACATCCTGGCTCTGCCTCCCAGGACTTGTTTTCTATAGTCAGTTTTTGCCCTTCCTTTTCCAAACTGTTGACTCCCTCTTGCATAACTCTCATTTTTTCCCACTTTTTCTTCTAAAATCCTTCCTCAGCTCATGCAATAAAGCTTTTTCTGAGATCAGTTCATGTTCTCTTCTGAGGTTTCAGATGTGGGTATATTGACAATGTTTTCCTCTTTCAAATTTGTGTTTTGATCTTACCTGTCCGCGTAGTAACAATTGGTGGTCATTGTTGATTTCTGCTTTTTGCTTATGTGGTTTGCCAATTTCCTGGCTTTTTAAGTTGAGTTTTCCTGCTGGATCATAAGGGGCACTGACCTAAGCTCCTTGTGCTGGGGGCCAGCAATCTGATTACTCGCTTTGTATGCTGGGGACTCAAATGTTAAAAGCTGGAGGCTGTAGGGGTCTGGTAGCTTACCAGTTGCTGAGCTGGAATCAGTAACACTGCAGTTCTAGGGGTGAAGGTAGGGGGTCTGGCCCCTGGAGGAAACCTGCTCACCCTGACTTTTTTGAAGCACTTGAATGTTAGGTTGCTCAAGAATGTTTGCCAGACTGGAGCTGTAACTCTTAAATATTCTTCCTGGTGTTGTGCTTCCCAGAGTTGAGCTGAGGCACCAGGTGATTTAGCTGCTAGGGAATGCCATTGCACACGGTGGTTTCCGAGCTGGTGTCTACATGTTCCCTGCCTGTACTAAGGCACTCTGGGGGTCCTTGGTGTTAGCACCTGCATGCTCTGACACCCTGACACTCAGGATATTCCCCCTGGTATGATGAGGTGGGGCTTGCCACTGGCTTGCTGGGATACCTTCCATCCTTTACTGCTCCTCCTCCCCCAGAGTGAGAGGGGCCTTTCCCATTAATTCCCTCAAGCTTCCTGATCTACAAGACTAGTGCACCCTATCTTTCTACTGGCTTAGCTCTACTAGGGGTTTTCTTGGGGTGATATTTTCTGGACTTTTTTTTATCATTCCTTTATCTGGTAATTTGGGTTTTCCTCTCATTTTATGAAATTAGTGAACAATTTTTAAAAAAAATTATTATTGACTAAATTATTTTCCTTCAATTTCATTTATCTCTTTGATTTTCAAGATTATCATTTTTTGCTCTTATTGAAGAATTTTTTTATTGTTTTACTAGGATTTTAGTTATTTGGCAGACTAATTGATATACACATACATATATACATGTATTCTCTTTGATTTATAATTTATATTTAAAATTATTTAGAGTTATACATTCATCCCAAAGAACCAAAGAAATATGTGATCTAACTTCATTATTGTCATTTTCTTTCATAAAATGATTTATTCTTTAGGATACAGAGACAACTAACAGAAATACATAGGGCCAAATATCCTCCCCAATTATTGTATTCAAGGAAAATAATAGTTCTCAAAAGAATTATATATTATTAACAACCATATGTAAGAATGCTCTAATTTATTAATAATAAGATTAATGCAAGTCACATCTAACAAACTGGCAAAAATGACAGAACATGGAAAATCTCAGTAACAGTGAGGTTGTGGAAAAGCAAACACTCTAATGAATTGTTAGTGGAGTCATAATTAGTCTAGACTCTAAACAGTCTGGAAAGCAATTTGAAATCATGCAAAAGGAATGGTCAAAATGTGTAAACCCTTTGACCCAGAAATTATATGGTTAGGCATATACCCGAAAAGTTCAATGACAGAAAGGTAGCCCCCATAATTCACCAGAATGTTTATAGCAGCAGTCTTCTTCATAAAAAAAAAACCCAGCCCTATAAACTATAAACAAAGTAAATGCTCATTGACTGGGCAATGGCCAAAAAATTATGGCTCATGAATGAAATGGAATATTATTGTGTGATAAAATATAATTAATACAGAAATCATGGAATGGTTTTTATGGGCAGATGCAAAGTAAATAGAACTGGGAAACAATATAAATAATGACTTTAGTGATATAAACAGAATGAAGAACAACAACAAAATAATTAGATCTTAATACTTTGAATTCATAATGACCAGGTCTGAAACCAAAGAAGAAATGTAAGGAGACAACTTATCCATTTGTTTGCAGAGGTAGACCATAGGTGTAGAACATTGTAATTTTACTGGAAATTCTGTTTTTCTCTTTTTAAGTACTTTATTATGAGATATGCTACTCAGGGACAGAAGGAAGAAAGCAGTGAACAAGAAATTTAGATTTTTTTTAAACAAAAGATATCAACAAAAGCAAATTAAATAGAATCATATGTTACTGAAAAAGGTTATGATATTCTGTCCAACATTACTTATAGTAATCCATGTTAATTCAAATAATTTTTGATTGAAACATTATCTTTGCCTCAGTTAGTAACATTTAAAGGTGTCCATTAAATCATATCATATCAAAGTTTTCAATTATATTTCTTTTTTGAGATTCAGAATTTCTATTTTTATTTTTGTAAGAACTTTATGATTTCTTGTTTTCTAGGTTCCCCTCCCACACACATGCTTACTTCACTGATCTGTTTTGCTAATAAAAGTATTTAAAGATAAATTTTCCCATAAGGATTGTTTTGGCTGTCTCCCCAAAGTATATTGTTTTATCTCAATGATTTGTTATTGGGATTAAATTATTTAATCTCTATTTGAATTTCAATCCTTTCTTTAAAAATATTTTTCAGTATAATTTTATTGCATTGTATTCAATAGGGGGTATATTTAATATTCCTTTTTATGCATTTTTCCTCACTTTTTATGTCCTATTACAGTCTTTTCACTGATATTGTGAAGCCTATCAAAAACCTACACTTACGATGTTAGAAGGAAGATGAACCAGGAAGACACACAGATAAATAAGGGACAGAGAGGTGGGAAGATAAAAAAAAAGTGATGGAGGTTAAGTGAGCAGAGAATTAAAATGGGAAAGGAGGTCCTCAAATGTCCAGGAGAATGAGAACTGGATAGGAATACAACTTATACTTAATGGTAGTTGTTTCATTCAGTCACTTTTCAGTTGTGTCTGATTCTTTGTGACCCTATTTTGAATTTTCTTGGCAAAGATGCTAGTGTGGTTTTCCATTGCCTTCTCTAGTTTATTTAACAAATGAGAAAACTGAGGCTAAGATGGTTAGGTGACTTTCCCAGGGTCACACAGCTAGTAAGAATCTGAGTTGTAGATTTAATATCAGGTCTTCCTGATTCCTGGCCTAGAACTCTATCCACCATGCCACTTAATTCCTTTAAACTGTGCACTTTTATCATTCGAACCTAATGCATTTTTCTTTACTTTAGGCAAGGCCTATGCTCCTGAATTCTATTATGACACCTATAATCCTGTGTGGCAAAATAGACATCGAGTATATTCCTATAGTCTTCAATGGACTCAAATGAATCCTGATGCAGTGGACCGTATTGTTGCATATCGCTTGGGTATAAGGCAGGTGAGAAAATTAGTTGAAATTCATTTGTGATGTTTATTTTTTTATTTCCCTACAAGATTCTTTTATAATTACTTTTCTATTCATGTTCATACATGTTACAAATGCATTGTTAGTCATGAAGTACTTGGAAATCTTGAGAACTAATTATGTATTTTGTAATTTGGCAATCAATAGATTAAAGATTTAGCCCTCTGGGTTTTATGAGAAACTTCATCTCTATATAAAAAAGAAGAATAACATGATATTTGTTGGAAATAAAATTTATTTCAAATGTGTTACCTATACAAAATATTCTTATTTCTTACAATTTCTTACAATTTTTGATTCCATAGAGTTCAAATTTTGGAGTATTTTTAAAATCTAGTTACTAATTCATATACATAAATAGTTTTAGAAAATAAGCTATAAAAGTTTGATTTTAGTGTATTTGTCTACCTATTTGTAGCTACTTCCACTAACAAAATCACCCGTTTTCCAAAATTCAAGTTTCATTCTACTTAAAAAGATCTCATCTTGACTTTAACTCCAAACTTCCTGATCAGTGTTCCAAAATCATAGAACCTTCAAGTTGTAAGTAGTCTTAAAGATCATGTAACTCTGCCTTATAGAGGGAATACTTGTTACAGTAACCCTGATAGATGTTCATTCAGTCTCTGACTGAATATTCTAGTGACAGGAAATAACACTCTATTTTTCCTAGATAGAATTGTAAAAAAAATTTGGAATTATGTGGAGGCAAAACTTAAATGCATCTATCTGTTGTCCTCCTGGATCAATGGAGATTGCCTACTCCTTTTTTCCCATATGACAACACTTGAATAATTTTTCAGAGGCCTTTTTCTTTAGAGCTGCAAGATCTAGATCATTTCATCCAATACCCCATATTATCTGAGGCCTAGATAAAGGAAATCATTTGCTTAAATTAAAAAAAAAAACTAACAGAACAAGTATCTAAACCATTATCTTCTGGAAGAAAATTCAGGATTTCTATTTAAATCAGTGTGAGTTATAGGAGTCCTGATCACAGTTGCCTAACACCCCTTTAGGGAGAAGATAGACGCAAAATAATATTCAAACAGATCTGTGATCTCAATGATCTGTAAGTTCTTTCGATCATACACAACAAAACCCACCTGTGCCTACTGATACTGTGTTAATCTCGTTTTCCTATGATCTACCAATGTGGGGTGTCCACTAATGTGTGTGAAGCCTTCCTTTCTTTCTTCTTTGAGAAATGATAGTAATAACAATATCTCAGTTTTTTAAAGTATTTGTGCTTCACAAAATCTTCCTTTCATAATTGTTCTGAGGTGGGTAGTAAAACTCCCAAGTTGCAGAGATCTGTCTTCTGTCATCAGTTAACAGTAGTTCTTCTGCCTCCAAATAATGGATCTATGCTTTCCTTGTTCTTCTTATTCCAAAAATACACAACTTATTATTTTGAAGGATTAGCATTTTTATAAGCCTCACTGGACTTTAGTTTTCTTGTTGCAAAACTATTTTATAACATTTTCACTTTAAAATTGAAATGTAAGTACTTTACTCATTTCTTTTCAAATTAGTTTATTTTTTCCTCAGCTTCTGGGAGTCCTTGGGGTGTGTGTGTGTGTGTGTGTGTGTGTGTGTGTGTGTGTGCATGCGCGCGTGTGACTGAATTATTTTGATTTCCTAACATAATTATTTCAGATGCTTTCCTTGACGAGATCATTTTGCTCTTGATCTACCATCTTCCTAATGACCTACACTATACTTTGGCCTTGTCTGTTACTGATTTCTGATGTTTCTCCCCTTTGTATATGGATCGTGGGTAAAAGGAAGATAAGAACTCAGACTATCATGAATTGAGCAGCTTAGTACTCACAGTCATGCAAATATTTCACTACAAAGCCCCACGTGCACACAAAGAAATGGTAGCTCAGGTGTGCTGTGCACAGGAGTACACCCATCGAGACTCCAGATCTCTGAGGACTCTGTCCTTGTTCTTTTACAGGACCCTAGGTGTCCTGAAATGAAACTCCCCTAACTCCTATCCAACTCCGCTTATATCAACCACTAGGGAATTATGATTAGGGAAGTCTACTAAACTTACATAGCTAATCCTAAATGTACCTGGCTGAACCAGTTATTGGGCACATAGGAACTTCCTAATACACAGAAGAGTTAAACATTGGTCAAACACGGAGTTACTTTGTAATCTTAAAGCCTAACACTAAGCCACTCTTCACAACTTACCTTCTTGATTCATCTATTGTATTTAGGGGAGCTCCTACTGGGTATCAGTACGTTTCTCCATTGGGAGTGTCAGTGTGGACTAGTCAGACATTGAGGTGCTGACTCAGAGCATCTTGTTAACTACTTGTTGCACATTTCAAAAGAGAGCCACATGGCTTATTTCTTGATCCTAGCCACCAATTGTCGTACTTTCCTAGTTGTATTCACCCCAAAGCAACAGGAATTGTCAGCCAATTCTCACTGTTTGGCTAACAAGTAGTCTGGTCTAACACCATTCAGGCTAACAAGTCTAGTCTCTCAATTGATGGCGTGGGCCATTTCATTGTTCAAGATTTCTATGATGTAAGATAAATTCCTAATCATGGTGTAGGGTGCAGAAAGTTTGGACTTCTGGAAGTAAAAGCCAAGAAGGTAAGAAAACCAATTGTTGGAATATTCCCCCTGGCAAGTCCTTATTCATTGTAATTCTATGAATTGAAAGGCTATCTTGGTATATGCAGAAAAAAGTCACAATATATACCCTAGGAAACATGCTGAGTTGGAGAGAGGCCAAAGTGATGCTTCCCCATCACCAATGTTAATTGTACATGGTGGTAGTACAATACTTCCACTTCTATATAATGGTATAGTGATTAATGGCATTCTCTGACATCTAAATGTTTGTGGAGTCTGAAAGTCCTTTCTCCACCTCCCTCAAAATCTTCTTACACTTCCTGAAACATATAAAAGATGGCCATCAGGTGAGGAAGGTCACCATATAATTTTAAAATTTTCAAAGACTTGCTCTCCCATGTTTGGTACTCTATGGGTAGAGACTGTAACAGTGCATCATGTATAATTGTGCATATGGGAGACTGAATGATAGAGTAGATGGGTACCTAATGTAGATGGAGTAAAAGTTTCTTCAGCCATGACCCTTATACTCACATTTTTGTCTTGGTACTAAAAAGTTGCCTTTTGGGGGTCCCGAGGGCTGCATGACCAACCCAATAAGATATTAAGGATAGCCTTATTATATTTTTATAGATTGTTGTGGTCATTATTCACTATGTGATAGTAGAGCTGACAACAGTAGCAGGAGTCATTGTGATCAAATTAGTAGGTTTCATGGTGACTGGCTAGTCAAAACAATGGCTGTAGTTCTCAAGATATTATCAACTGTGGCTATCAAACAGGATCAGGCAGAATCAGCAAGAAGGTCTAAAGGTCACCAAGAAACATAATGAAGACGTTAAGTTCCTCTCCTTCCTTTCCATCATGTCTTAGACCTGTGCTCATTTTTCTTCTTCTCCTTTTTTTTTTTTGGTTGGGCAATGGGGGTTAAGTGACTTGCCCAGGGTTACACAGCTACTTAGTGTTATGTGTCTGAGGTAGGATTTGAACTCAGGTCCTCCTGAATCCAGGGCTGGTATTCTAGCCACTGGGCCACCTAGCTGTCCCATCACTTATCTTCTTTTGAAACGCACAATGTGTTTCCTATAACTCCTGCTAGGATTTCTTTGGGCATGTATTTATAATCCCCTGAATTTCTGTGTAAAACCTTTCCATGTAATTCCAATGTGTGGAATACAAGTAAGTAGGTGAGGGAGCCAGTGTAACCCTCATATTACCTTGCCAAGAAAGGCCTTCTAAGTGGGCACAGTAAAGCAGAGGGGAGAAAGTTGTCTCTTTCTATCCCCAAGAGAGTGGACAGTGAGGTTAGCATCTGTGCTTCCCTGAATTCCTACTACCGTGAGGCAGGCTGAGAAAAAAGACATCCTCATTCACACCCCCAGTTTGGGCTCAGTTTTAAAGAAACAGTTGTGAGTGCAGTATCATTTACAGTTAAAGTCAGTTGCAATCCCTTCTAGTCCCTCATCTCCAACCTTTTATAAATTTGTATTTAGCAGATACACTAGGGGAGATGCCTAAAAGGACATAATAGAGTTTAAGGTGAAGACTTCATGAGGAAGTCAATCTAACCGTACCTCCCACTGCCTATTGGAAATGAGAGTCTTTGATTTGGACTTTTAACTGTTCCTTCCATTGTTCAATTGTCTCATCTCCCTGATGGTTCAGTGCTAGATAAAGGCGGTGCAGATTGAAGTACCAGTGTCAGTAGAAATGTAATCTGGATATCCAAACCTCCAATAAATGTGAGTCTCAGGGCTTGGACGGTGTCTTGCCCTCACCCTTTCTTATGAGATTTAGAGTTACTCAGTACCCAGTGAAGGAGGTTGTAGGACTAACAGCACAATTCTGAAAAAAAAATATTTCAATCTCATCAGCAAGCTAGGATCTACTTTTCAAAAGATGTACAGCTAAACATGGTCCCTTTTAGGGTTACCATCAACAATCCCAGGCACTTATGAACGTGTACAGTCTTTAACACAAGTTTCCATAATCTTGGGCATAAAAAGGTCCCAGCAGCACAGCCTGTTTAATTGCCTCAGAGCTATTCAAGGGCCTTTGCTCTTTATTTTAAAAAAGTTTATTTTATTCTGAACTTAAGAAATGAAAAAGTATTTCCATAACTTAGTGGAATAGAAAAAAAGATGACTATACATGAAACTGCAAATCTATTATGTACAACTTACTACTCTTTTTAAATATATAATAAAGTTATCTAAATTGATTTTTTCTTCTTTTCCCTCACCCCATCCTAGAGACAGTTACAATTAGACAAAAATATGCATGTACATGTATGTGTGTGTATATATATGCATTTATATATGTGTAAAACATTCTATACAAACATGTACTTATCAGTTCTTTCTCTAGATGCAGAC